TTATTTAATTCAGTTTTATTATTGTATTAATTTTTTCTTTAAATTTTTGTTGATACACAAGGCAGGTATATAAGAGATTGTCCAAAGTTATCAGTCGTAGCCTTACAGTAGTCCGACCTGCATCAGTTTCATGATGTAGATTTGGCTGTTAATTTTTTCTTTTTCTTTTTCTTTTCTTTTGTTATGAATGCATTTTCATAGAATTAAGACAATGGCAGATGAAAGTCCTGATCTTTGAAACATTTGTAAACTGTCTTTTATCGAAAGGTGCTCAAATAGAGATGATGATAACTTTGGATCTGCTTTTAATCTGCATTTTTTATTATTATTTTTATTTGTTTATTTTTTTTCTTCTGAGAAATGAGATCTGATTTTTTGTTTTCTATTCTGGTTATTATTGATTATTATTTGACATTGTTCTTGAAAGGTCATGAGAGAGATGTGACAATGCTTCATTCTCTTTTATTATTACTATTATTATCATTATTATTATTATTATCGTTGTTCAGACCTAAATGGATTGAGAGTCATCGCGTTCTTCTCAAAGTCAGATAATATTTTTGTATTATGGAGTGATTTTTAAGTCATGCATAAATATTAGGAATATTATAACCCCCTCCCCCCTTTTTTTTTTCTTTTTCTTTTTCTTCCTTTTTTTTATTTTTTTTTTTTTCAGTCCAATCCAAGTAAAGATTTCTTTGTTGGGAAGCATACTCATGGCTATGCTTTTGTATATTGGGATATGGCATTGTGGTTGGCAATGTATCTAGTGGACATGTGACTGCAAGCAACTACAATGTGAAATCCTTGGAGAACTGTAGTAAACTACTAATACATGATGTGTTTTATCACATTGCCTGTGGATGGGATGATCATATTCAAAAAGACAAGATGTGTGAATATATGTGTGTGTGTGTGTGTGTGTGTGTGTGTGTGTGTGTGTGTGTGTGTGTGTGTGTGTGTGTGTGTGTGTGTGTGTGTGTGTGTGTGTGTGTGTGTGTGTGTGTGTGTGTGTGTGTACATACACATATATATATATAAGTATATATACATATATAAAAGAGAGATATATATATATATAGTATATACATCTAGATATACATATGTAGTATATACATCAAGATATACTTGAATATGTGTGTGTGTGTGTGTGTGTAATATGTATATGTAATATGTATATGTATATGTACATATGTGTATATGTACGTATGTATATATATTATATATGTATATATATTATATATGTATATATATTATATATGTATATATATTATATATGTATATATATTATATATGTATATATATTATATATGTATATATATTATATATGTATATATATTATATATGTATATATATTATATATGTATATATATTATATATGTATATATATTATATATGTATATATATTATATATGTATATATATTATATATGTATATATATTATATATGTATATATATTATATATGTATATATATTATATATGTATATATATTATATATGTATATATATTATATATGTATATATATTATATATGTATATATATTATATATGTATATATATATGTATGTATATATATATATATATATATATATATATATATATATATATATATATATATATATATATATATATATATATATATATATGCATGTTTATGTATATATGTGTGTGTGTATGTATGTCTATGTAATATATACATATACATACGTATATACATGCACATATTTGTATGTATATACATATATATGTTATATATATTTATATATATAATATATATTTATATATATAATATATATGTATATATATAATATATATGTATATATATAATATATGTGTATATATATAATATATATGTATATATATAATATATATGTATATATATATAATATATATGTATATATATATATAATATATATGTATATATATATATAATATATATGTATATATAATAAATATATATATATATATATGTATATTTATGTGCGTGTGTGCACATGTGCGCATATGTGGGGGGGGGGGGGGGGGCGTGTGCGTGCATGCATGTGTATATGCATATGTATATGTGTATGTGTGTGTATATGAATATACATATATATGTGTATATATATATATATATATATATATATATATATATATATATGTATGTATGTATGTATGTATTATGTATGTATGTATGTATGTATGTAAGTATATTTGGGAACTGATTCCTGAGCAGCTACTTCACTTTTACATTCTCGTTTTTTCTATCTCTCTGTCTTATAATCTTTGCCTTACTACTTACATTTTCTCTCTTTCCATTCCTCCCCCTGCCCCCTACTCCCCATGTCCTTTTCTTCTTCTTGCCACTCCTTCCTCTCTCCCCCCCCCCCTCCCCAGTCTGTCCATCCCATGCCATCCAACCTCCAACAAGAGCTCAGGTCCTTGTTTTTTAAAATTTGTCAGTATGCTTTGTTTTTATTTATTTTGTATATATGTTTTCCCTTTTTCATTATTAGTGTTAGATTTACTAATTGCTATTTTTTGGTTATGATGTTCTTGACTGCAGTTTACAGTCACTTTTTGATTCATTATTTTTATTTTTTATTTAGTTTTATTTATTTATATTTTTTTCTTTCTTTTTCTTTTCTTTTCTTTTCATTTCTTTTATATATATAATTTTAATGTTGTTACTGTCTGATTTATTATGATTTTGATAATCATAACTGTCCAGATGGAAAGATGGGAAACCTTTGGAGGGTACAGGCCAGGCCAGGCAGATGGAGACGCAAGAGAGGGGATGACAGTGAGAGCAGAAAGTTGGCCTTCCTACTCAAATTTTCTCCTTCGTCGGGTCTCTCATCCTGCCTGTGCTGGTGGTCTTCCCACACATAGTCCTGTACAATGTTGCTGTCTTGCTAAATATATTTTAAGTGTTTCTGCGAAGGGAAGAGAGATAAGGTTCAGTAGTCTAAGGTCCACATGTTAGATCTACATTGTACAGAACACGAAGGAGAGATAGAGAGAGAGAGAGAGAAAAAGCAGAAGTGAGTGGTCAGAGAGAGAGAAAAGAAGAGAAGAGAAAAGAGAGAAGAATAATGTAACTGAAAGCAAAACTAGACTTATTTTTTCAATTGTTTATAATTGTCTTTTATAGGTGAGAACTAGTGTGGGAATTCAGACGTACATTTAGGTGCTGAGGCAGCCGTGGGTTTGCCTTTTTTATTTGCTATAATGTCCACAGTATTTGATGTAGTTGGTGTGTTGAGCATCTGTTATATACCTTTACATTGATCTTGCAACCTCTGTGTTGGTAGTCGTGCAACCTTTTAGCATTCAGGAGACTTATGAGTGGAGTATTGCAGCTTAAACCTGTCTTACATATATTGTATATAGGCTGGTTAACTTCACTTAACGATGCCAGATCCTGCAGTTGCATGCACCCCTTGACCTCCCTCCCCTACCTGAGAGATTTCAAATATATATATATATATATTTCCACAAATTAACTAATACTTTCCACTCCACCCAACCCCCCTCCCCAGACACACACTCGTCATCCTCAGCCACATAACAAGTATAAAGCAAAAGACAAGTTGAATTAATAAACACAAGGGCAGTGCACAAGAAATGCAGGGAAGGCATCCGGAGTTGCGCACTTTTGACCATTTAATATTTAAATGGAGTAGATGCCGCCGGTGGGCTTAAGTGGAGTTGACCATATACAGTCCCGTCAAGTGAGGGCGCTGCTGTTCTCGGTCCCCGTCAAGATTTGCGTCTGGTCCCCAACCTTTGTGTAGTTGAGAGGCCATGTGAAAACTACTTATGTTTGTTATCATTTTAATTTGTCCTTTTTTTTTTTTATATATACATTTTCCTGTATTTTATTGAATTTTTAAACATTTTTATTTTTATGTATATATTTTTTATTTTTTTTCATTCCTGCCATAATTGACCGCTCGACTCATAGGCTTTCTTGAATGCAAATTTTACTTAAAGAAAAAAAAATAATAAATTTTGTGTGAGAGAGTACAAATTTTTGACCAAGTCAGTAAAGTTTTTTTTTTTTTTTTTCCCAAAGTAATATTCATTTTATTTTTTATTATTATGGTTATGATTTTTTTTTTCCTCCTTTTTTTAAAGTAATATAAACCTCTAGTTTATTCTATCATCAATTGTTAATCTTGTTATCAATATTGCAATGATTTCAACTGTTTCTAACTACATAAACTTTTTTTTTTTTTTTTTTTTTTTCCGTGAATTCATTTTTTCTATGAAGCTTTCTGGAAATACTCAAAACCTGTCTATGAGAAGCTTGGACTTCAGATCCTCTTTATTCTGTGCCCTCAGTTGCTCATACTTTTTTCCTCCGTCATTGATGTCTGTTTGCCGTGCATTTTTCTTCCTTTCTTTCCAGTTGCTGAAAATATCATTTCTCTCTCCTTTTTTTTTTTTTTTTTTTTTTTTTTTTTTTTTTTTTTCCTTTTTGGGTTGTATTATTTTTATTTTATTATTATGGTTATGATTTTTTTTTTCCCCCTTTTTTTAAAGTAATATAAACCTCTAGTTTATTCTATCATCAATTGTTAATCTTGTTATCAATATTGCCATGATTTCAACTGTTTCTAACTACATAAACTTTTTTTTTTTTTTCCGTGAATTCATTTTTTCTATGAAGCTTTCTGGAAATACTCAAAACCTGTCTATGAGAAGCTTGGACTTCAGATCCTCTTTATTCTGTGCCCTCAGTTGCTCATACTTTTTTCCTCCGTCATTGATGTCTGTTTGCCGTGCATTTTTCTTCCTTTCTTTCCAGTTGCTGAAAATATAATTTCTCTCTCCTTTTTTTTTTTTTTTTTTTTTTTTTCCTTTTTGGGTTGTATTATTTTTATTTTATTATTATCATCATTATTATTGTTGTTGTTTATTCTCATTATTATTATTATTATTGTTTTAAAAAATTGACGTTATTAACTTCTGTTATGAAGAGTGACCTGGTTCTATTATGTAACTTACATATATTAGTGATGGTTCCTGTCATTATTTTTCTCATTATTATGACTTATAATTATGTTGTTAGAAATTAAAATGCAAATAAACAAACAAAAATTATGTTTGATAAAGAGGTAATTTTTTATGTATATATATAATGTTCAAACAATTTGACTGTGAATTTGGCATGGGAAAATTGTCTTCTCTTTGATTCTATGCTAGAGTGAAATCATATGTATGGAAGTTGACCTGGTTTTGTTTTTTATCCTCCATTTTGTTTTGGTTGGCTGGCTCTGTGAAGGCCAGGAAGAACAGTCGGAATTCAGACAGGTGTTTGTTCACGCTGGTGTTTCCTTTGCTTCCCTTTCCAAGTCTTCTTCTTTCCCATTTGCTCCTCCTCTCTCTTTCTATCTCCTGTGCTTCTGTGCTTCCTCCTTCTCTTTCTTTACCATTCCTTCCTTTTGCTTTCACCAGCCTCTTCTATTGCTACTATTAAAAAAAAAAAAAAAAAAAAAAAAAATAGATAAAAAAATAATAATTAAAAAAATTGCAGTTTGACACGGTGCAAGCTCCCCGGTCCACAAGTAAAGTCCCTCCAAAGTGCAAAGCAATCATGAACTTTTGGGCCTGCAGCATATACTTTGAAATGAATATGTACTTTGTTTATATAATAAAGAAAAGGAAAAAAAGAGAAAAAAAAGTTTTTATGTAGTTTTTGGGTGGAGTACTTGCAGTGCATTTTGTTTCTTTGCACGTTGCGCTAGAGCTCGTTCTTCTCACTGAATCAGTTTTGAGTTCTATTTGTGTCATTTTGTGTGTTTCTGTTTGTGTATATGTGCATTCGGTCCCCTTTCCTCCCTTCTCCCTTTCTGCCTATGCATTCTCTTCATTTCCTTTGTTAATAACGTTTTATTTTATTGATTTATTCTGTGTGACTGAATTTTTATTTTTTTGTGAGTTATTTTCCATGATGTTATTCTAAATTTAATTATTAAAATATGTTACTTTAATAAAAGTAATCTCGTAATGATACACAATGATGATAAGTTTTTTGTTAGTCAATTTTCCCCCCTTTTTTCTCGAAGTTTGTTTATTCAGCTTTTGAGAAAGTTCGAGGTTGTGTTTGTGGCCCAAAATTCAGTATTTGGTTGCATGTTGATCAAAGGCCTTCAGGTGTAAATGTAAACTTTGGTTATATGGAAGAATTGATCTAAGCCAAATAAAAAGACAACAAAAATGCATTGCAAACTAAAATTGTTGTATTTTTGAAAAGTAAAAAAAAAAATAATAATAATTAAAAAAAAAGAGGAGAAAGTTGATGATTGATATTAATAATAATAATAATGATAAACCGTGGAAGTCTTTTTTTTTTTCTATTTTTTTTTTAGGTTGGCTTCCATCCATAACCCAAATATGCCATTAATAGCAATAAAAGCTGTATTTATAAAAATGTTTTCAAAATGACCTTGAAAAATCTCAAGTGCACAAGCTACGACTTTTTGCTCTTCTATTCAAGCTTCAAAGAAAAAAAAATCTTGAGTGAAAGGCCAACTGGAGGCTTGAGAGATAGTCCTTACAGGATTCAGATAAAATGGGAAAGCTCTCCTTGGGCTCCTTTCTTCCTGTTCCTTCTCAATAGCTACTTGCTCCCCTTGCCTCACATTTTTTCCTAACATATCAGTGATACTTCAGATGATAGATCTGTAATGGCAGTAGAAAATATACTTATACTTGATATACTTAACACTGAGAGGAAAATACAAGAAAACAAAAATGTAAAATATGACCAAAGTTTATAAAGAAAAAAAAAACAAAAAAACAGAGGAACCGAAATATGCATTAATAGTGCTGCTGTGATGCATACAATTCATAAAATGCATGGCGAGCTCCGAGTAAATTCAATGAAATGCTTCTGCTGAATTCTGTAAAAAGTAAAAAAAAAAATAAAATAAAAAGAATTAAATAAATGGAAAAGGAGATGCATATACATTCCTAAGTACTGGTGGTTGTGACAGACCGGATTCAGCCCACAGTGAGGAACTCCCAATTTTGAAAGTTTCTTTGAGAGAAAGAACAATTGGTGTATTTGTCACAAAGGGTTCCTATCAGTACACGAGGGAAAAAAAGAAAAAAAAAAAACGAGATCACAAACAGTTTAGAAGAAAATCCTTGATAAAGTAGAATACTAGGCTTTATCTTCGGTAATTCCAGTCTTTATACTGGGTGAAGAAAAATTTACAATAGCTACCAAATCGGTAAGAACTGGTACACGCACTAGCTATGCTGAGCTTTGAAAGTGTAAGAGCCAAAGTACAATTCGTCTGTTTTCAAAAAAGAACCAATATTGCATAATCTTTATATTCTTTTGTTCTTTCATGTCCGTACTTTCCGTTTCAATTCCATCCGTAACAAAACTATCACCTCGACTACATTTTTATCGTTTTTTATCCATCTTATTCTAACCTATTATCAATGCAAACCATTGAAATTTCGTAATTTTTCCTTCCTCAGACACGTTTCATTCTATTACCA